GTGTGTGTTTGTTTTTTGCATAGGTGGGTGTAAATATTTATGTATGCATAAGCATAGCTTTTATTTAAAATTTCGAAGAGCCTCTCCGCACGTTGCACGTGTGAAATGTTTCCTCTTTTCTTTTTTTTTTTTTTTTTTTTTGTTTTCTTTTCTACTTTGAAATATTTATTACAGCACATATGTAGATAAGTACTTACACATATATGTATATATAAGGATGAGTTAGGTTAGGATGCATACATACATACAAATGCATAAATTTGCGAAACTCTTGTGTCAATTTTTTATACAGACTTTCTAATCTATGACCGGCATTTAAAGCGCATGATCGTCTCAGGCCAAGAAGGGTAGTGAAGAACACTTTCCGTTTTGTTTATTCATTTATACATTTCGATATTCTGAAAACGTAGAAATATAGAAAATTTTCTCTTAACCCTAAATGTGAATACTCTTAAGAAATTGCCCGTGTGAGGCGAAGACTAATTATCATTGAGTTGGCCGTATTGAAAGACTGAATCTTCTGAGCAATATTGTCATTTATTCAAATCTAACGTCAAAGGCACAATATATTTTTTCTAAACGTTTTAGACGGAGAGAAATTGGTGATAGTAACGATTCAATTATCTTCGCCTGCTAAACTGTCTACCGCTTGAATTAGAAAATTACGCTTGTCCGGATTTTCCCTATCATTTTCACTATCTAAACCGCCAAACAGCAACGTAATTCGAGTAATGCAATCAATTTGTAGAAAATACACATTTACTACATGAAAAATTATAAAAAGTATTTCATTCGGTATATTGCCTATCGCATTGCTATGCATTTCTTCCATTTGTCTCACAATTTTTGGATGGTACGCCTTTAAAAATCTGTCATTGTCATCTTCATTCGAATCAAAGTGCGGCTATAACAAGTGCGTGACCAATCGATGCATTTAAGTGGTGATCGAAACGACTCGAGTCTGATGGGTAAACCGCATGGGCAAGCATCTTCTAGTTGAATACATCAATATTCATAGATAGATGGAATGTCAAGAGGTGCCCTGGTCTTACTTTTTGTTATTCTGGTCCTTTTAAAAAACCGAATATTTCAAATCGATTAATGTTAGTAGCGTTTCGTATTAATCGTTTCATCAGATTTTAATCAAGCTCATCCTTCTGGTCCCACCGAGGGCAGAGTGACGTCGTCTTATCGTAGCGATTCGGTCATGCGACAGATGTGGATAGGATTCTCAAAATAAATTCACTTTTGATCCCATGTAACGGTACGATTCAAAAGAGATTTCCTTGTATGCATTAGGAAATTATTCTGTTTCTATGCTATTTTACCAAACTTGTATTGTGGTGAATTGAATATCTTTGCCAGCAAAGAGAACGGTACCCATGATGCGATACATTGACTCCTTGTGCCAACTACGGATAAACTCCACTTTCATATTTATTATGTGAATTGTCCTGTACTTAGCAAGTGGAAACAGAATGAATTACCAGCTGAAAATGCATTTTCTCCCCCAGCCTAGCCAAAATCACTTAAACTTAAACTGTATGTATGTTTTATAGTAATTTTTCTATCTACGTGGGTCGCCGTTTGTATTTTGCGGTTTAAGCAACACTACATATTGTTAAGTGTCATTTGAAGTTTCCACTGGAAACTATAATAAGTTTGAGCATAAACTTTTTCAGAATATTTTTTCATTTGCGCGCGGTTTTTATTGACTTGAAAATTAAGTTGCAGTGCAAAAATTGTATTAACTCCTGAGTCGACGTGAATTATCAAAACAAGATTGCATCGTTCACCTTACGTCAATGAAATCCCATCCTCTACTACCGTGGAACACTGATATAACCAGGTTAACTCTTGTCATCACTCGCTCACTCGCGACGGTAGTCGCGACAATCATGCATAATTACTTATTGCGCCAGAAAATAATGATGTTGTGCAAGAGCTGACATTCTGTCATTAGCTCCATCTTAATATATATATAAAAAATTGAGAGATCACTTAGCCATGTGAAAGCTTTGCTCTCATTGAACCCCACATACTTTGAGGGCACCTCAAAAGTGCGCTCGTATCGATTGATGCAAGCAAATACTTAACAAGACGTGTATGGAATGACATAAGGTGAAGATTCATGGATTTATGCACGCGAGCTGAAAAATAAACAATAATCGATTCTATAGGTGTTTCAAGATAAACCAAACCCAATAAGAGTTGTTCGTGCTCGAAGCATTTTGAAAAACATTGTCCCCTGCTTGTTCGAACGCGTTGGCAATATAACAACAGTGAATTTAGGGGAACAGTGAATTTAGGGGACAACTTTGTCTGAACGATACACAATCACCTGGTTGCGGAAATTCTCTGATCAAATAGAGAAAACAAACAAACGTCGCGGGATCAATCTTCATTTTTGTAACGTGAGCTGTTCTAATAAGCGACTAACTAAATGCTCAAAGACTTAAATTACTCGGACATTTACCGCACAGTCCTGATATGGCACCTAATGATATCTTTTTGTAACCGAACGTCAAGCATAAATTCCCGAAACGGGGAATTTCATCGCCACAACAAGTCGCTAATACTTTCAAAAACCATGTTTTGCAAGTACCTCCAGCGGAAGGAAAAAATGCTTTGACAAATGGTTCGGACATATGCAAAAGCGTATAGATCGCAAAGGGGAATATTTTCAAAAATAATGAAGCAACCTTTAAAGACAAATTCCAATTATCTCCTTATTACGCTGAAAATAAATGAATCCCCTTAAAATCTTTAAAATTGCTCGTAAATATTTAACAATCAACGATATCTGAACCGATTCGTCTGTCCTTGTGACATGCTGATGTATACGCTTTTAGTTTTGAAATTTGATAAGCTGACGTATTTTGACATACCAAGGCCCAAAGCCTATTAAAAATGTAGTCAATCGGATAAATTAAATATTCACTTATGACCTTATAACCCGCAAAAGCTTGCAAGGATTTTACGAAGTTTGAAGTTGACATATCAATGTATGCTATGTTGCGAATGTTTAACACACACGGACAGACAGACGAACAGTTAGACGGACGGAGTGCTAAAAGCAATTGAAAGTTTGATACTGATCAGAGGAATAGATATACAATATATTGTCGTTTAAGGTTTTTGTGTTTTTTTTAAGTCTTGCAAACTTTTCAACAGCACGAATGTAAGTTCAAACTCTTTTGTCATTGTGTTCATTTCTAGACAAGGGTTGGTGGGAAATCGCATTCTAGCGTATTAAATGCATAAGGGGAAATTTCCACGAAACGCGGTCATTTCTTGTATTCCTCGCATATAAAGGCTCCTCAACAAAATAAATCTTTATATGGCAGCAATGTCTCTTATCTCTTAATATTTGATAATGTGATACCAATTGACCAAGAAATTTACTGCGCTATATTTGAGGCAAGTACGCCTATTTCTCGAATCCGCTCCCATATCCGCACGCTTAGCCGAATAGGCAAGAAGTGCGGCTGCAAAATCAATGTGTGCTGGTTCACATCTCAAGTGCGGTAGAGTTCGTTGGTCGTAGCTATAGTAAGAGTGCTCAGTGGATAGACGTGAATAAAAAAACCCCTATTAGACTGCGGCCACTTTTTATCTCTTTCTCTCTTTCTCTCTTTCCTCAATTCACTCTGACAGTCACCGTGTTACACAAATAGCAGACATATCCTGATTGACTGGACATACTAAACATACGTATATACGATACGATATACGAAAATACGATATTTGAAATTTGATTATATTTCTCGTAGACTAGATAGAAATCATTTTGTTTATTGTGCAGGTATTGAAATGTAGATAGAATGAGAGAAGAAAAATTATTCGCTTGCCAGTAGAAGGAAGCACCGTTAGTTACTGTCAAATAAAGGTCAACTGGATGAACAAATTTGAATTTACAATGTATGCAAATTTAATTAGATTTGAGATAGAAGATTTAAATCATTTTCAAAAGGTTTTAATCTTCTCTACTAAGCTTTGTCATAATTCAATGCAATACACAATTTGCATTAATCCCCGGATTAATCATCTGAGTGCACCAAATGTGACCTCCACGTGATTTTACATTAAAAAAATAGCACAAACATGAATTTCATTATTTTTCTCCTCATTTAGTTTGGTATTGCGTCAGTTAGCCATTTGTCAATTGGTTTTTTCTTCTTTTTTGATGTTGTTGTTGTTGTTGTTTGAGTTTGCAATGCAGGCCTATTTATACCGTTTAAGTTGCGCAAACAAAATCTTTACCATTTATCATTAGCTTTTAAAATAGCTTTAAATAACTTCTTTGACTTTGAAAAAGTGTGTTCGGATCCACTTATGGATTACGTACGCTATATCGAAATAATTGACACACGCCACAAGCATCGATTGTAGGATGTAGTTCCATAACACATAGCATTATTTATCTCTATCGAAGTTTTTGGCATGTGCTGGTAAATTACTCGAACTTAAAAAATCTAAGCATTCGCCCGAAAGCTAAATACTTACACAGGACGTGTTTATTGTGCTTAATTAATGAATAACTTATGCATAAAACAAACAACAACAAATAAAGGATTGTAAGTGTGAATTTTTAATGCGAATGTGAATATATGTGAATGCTAATGTGAATGTAAAATTTGTAAATTTGTCGAAATACTAATTTTTTCAACTTCAGTCACGTCCGAAATTGTAACAGAAAAGTTTGCCAGCGAACTGAGAAACATGACGCTACCAAGTTTTCTGGATGAATAAGAGAATGTGTTTTGAATATCATATTTAAGGACAAAAATGAAAAGATAAAAGAAAAGAAAACACAAAAAAGTGTGAAACAAGTAATGCTAAGTAATCCATGAAGTGCAACAAATGTATCTTAACGAAATAATTTTACATATATTTATAATAAAAACTTATCTCTTCTTACTTTTCTACCGCTTGTACATGCTTATTAAGCATTCGAATATGGAAATTTAATTTATTTGATTATAATTTAAAATTTTTACCTGGAAAGTGTTTTCGAAATTCTCACGCATCGAATAATTATTGCCTTTATTGCGTGACATATTCCGTTGATTGTTGTTATACTGACGTAGTCGAGGAATGAATAGATCCTCTTCGCTACTTGAGCTTAACGTATTGAGAGCGGCCTCTGGATCTGCTTGTTCTAAGGCCGCATATCGTACTGACTCTGTGCTATTTGCGCGGAATTTATTGCTAAACTTTTTGAATAAATCTGTCGTTAGATGGACTCTCGCAGTCGCGTTTGTTGCATGAACCGTATTTCGCGACACCTTATTGCCACGTGATCTATGACGACGATGGCGTTTATTGCTGCCAATTGCTCGACTTGTTGATGTCGACGTTTCGAGGTGATGTTGTGCATTTAATATTTCCATCCACGCACTCATAGCTTGCCATCAAGAAAACCCAAAAAAAAAAAAAGAAAAAATCGAAAGTTTACATAAATTTTATCAATCTCTCGGTTATTTTTAGTTCGTTCTGTTTATGATTTTTGTATTTAATTCTATTTAGTTTTTTTAGTTTTGTTTATTTTATTTATTTATTTATTTTTGTGTTTTTTTCGTTTACATTTTCTGTTTTCATAGAATTCTCACTGCAACGCAAATATCGGTTTTTGGCGTTACACGTATGTGTGCGTACATAAAAATGCAGTTATTTTTAAATATTGCTGGCGGACAAAGATGAATATATATATGGAATTCTGAAAATTATAGAAAAATATTCGTAGAAAATTATGAAAAATATTTTTTCGTTATTTTTCTAATAGGAATTGAAAAGGATCTTACCGCACAAACACACAAAAATTTAATTCATTGATTAATGTCTTCTTCAATATATCAATATTGATTTTACTTTTAAAATTTATCCATTTCTCGTTAAGCTTTCATCAATAAAAGCAAGTAAAAACATTATAGTCGGTCAAGGGCGATCACTCAACATCCTAGTACAACTAGTACGTAAGTAAAAATTATAAATTATGTCTAAGTAAAGGCGCAATTTTTCATGGAAGCCCTTGTACGACTGTCGTAGTCCAAATTTGACAAATTTAATTTCATAGATCATAGATCTCGTTACTCTGTTCGGTATAAAGTAATAAAAATCAGACATCTTGTCATATAAACGCTTACTTATCGTGGAGTCCAAAAAATCGATCGACGTGATTCAAATTTGGTTCGGTCAACTTTTATATCAAATAAGTATTGTGGATCAATTTTGATGATAAAATATTAAAAAATAGCCAGGCTTGCTTGGTAGGGATGGCTAGATTGCAGCCAATTCAGTACTTCCGGTCCAACTTTTCATATTTACTTTATAGGCTAAAATACTAATTATTACCGCATTTTGGGGCGAAATATTAAAAATTACATTTTTTTCATATAATAAACACTTCCTGAGAAGTCGTGAGGCGGGAAGTGTTTGCAAAACAAAATGATCCGATCTAATCCATTTTCAATTGTGTTCGTGCTTGAGCGGAAACAATTCAGTTACACAGACAGACATGCTGACAGATGGACAGATAAGGTTAAATCGATTCAGAAAATTATTCTGAAATGGTCGATATACTAAAAAATCAGGCTAACGGTCTTAAGCCCTTCTAAATGTTACCTACATTCGTACAAACTTAGTATACGCTATACAATACTCAAAAAGACTTGAGGCAGTAAACCGCAAGCGTTACGTTAAATTGTAGTTTTTCTTATGGAATTTCATTATTATTACTTAAGGTTACAGTTGCCATTTTTCGCAAAGCAAAATATTCACTGACTTATCCTCTTCTCTTCTTTCCTATCTTTTTGCATATTTGCTATTTTCGCCCGACAAATAACTTTAACAAATGAAGAAAATTGTCAATAAGTTTTCCTTTAAACTATTCCACAATTGTGTCTGCATGACTTTGTGCAATTTTTTTTCTTTAAGTGTTTAGCAATTTCAATAACTATTGTGATGGAATTTCTCCTGTTATTTGCTCAAAAAAAAAAAAAAGAAAAGAAAAGCACAAAAATATTCGAAAAAGGCAGAGAAAATAATTTCATCAATGTGCAAACTTTTTTCTTTCTTTCGCACAATTGCATATAATTCAAGTGTAATTATATAAAAACTGATATTAACGATTGCAGTTCGAGTTGAAGTTGCAGTGAAAGGTAGAAGCATTTTTCTATTGTTGCCTTTCGTAAGGCAAGTGTTAAATTCCTGGCAATTTTATAGAGACATAGCAAAATTACAGAGACAAGCAATTTTTACACGAATCAAGTCGAATCTTTTTATACCCGCTTCATATCTCAACAAAAAACTTTTATCTCTTTATCGAGAGGAGACTGTAAATGAAAAATTTATAAACTGTCATTACAGATATCTTTTGTCGGCCAATATAAACCTTCACTCACCTTCCCACCAGTGGTACTTAATGATTGCACGATTGCAACATAACCTCAAAATTTTCCAATAAATTGTTTCGAGTTATTTATAGCGATCTTAGATAGAAAAAATCATTCCATTATAATTACAAAAGGGAGTACACGTACATACACAGCCATTGGCATAAAAAAAAGCATAAATTTTTAGTATAAATTTTTTATCTTTACGAAAGTTGTCGCAGTAATATTCAATATTTAGTGATGTTGAAAAGCTTCGAAACGCTAATCATCTTTTTATTCAATTTGAACAAAGAAATAGATAAGCACCAAACAATGCCATCTTACTTGCTTCATTTTATCACCCCAGCGCGGCAATAAGTTTGAATAATTGTTTTCGACGATAATCAAATGAAAATTATACAACGCTTCGCCCAAAAAAAATGAAGCCTAGACTGTGCTTGCTAATGGTATGGAGTGATAGATATGGATTCATGTTACATCCATGCTGACGAGTCGACGCAACGATTTCACTCTATTGCTGTCAAATATCGCCCCCTGACGAAATATATGCTATTTACATATGCATATATGTATGTATCTGTGTGTATATTCGTAACATAGACATTTATATGTAAAACGTAGCTTTGTAGCGTATGTGCAATGAATTTCTTTTATAGTTCCCAGATCATTTCTAACAATATTTTCTTTTGTTCATAACCTATTGGTACATATATGACAAAATCTTGGACTTCGCGGCGTCTACGTGATGTCTACTTTTGAGAATACAAACGGCAGCATAGCAGATAGCGTTATATTCTAACCAATATAAATCTGTAGAGAACGACATAGAGTAAGCTGAATCAATATAGTTACAATATTCTAAATATAAACATATTTTATGCTTTTGAATAAGCTTTGTTTACTGACATACCTCAGTAACGAGTATGAAAAATCCGAAATAAAAAATCATAATTCGCACATGAACATAACACTACGTACATTGAATTCCAGGGATTATTATAAGCAATTGTAAAAGAAAATATTTAACCGTATGGAGGGCAATTATGAAAATCACAAGAAAATTTATTTATAGTAGGCTTTTATAATCACCGTAGTGCGTACTTTGGATTTGCTTTAGATGTCTTTTTGTGGTCCACCTGTGCACAGTGGCTTGTGGGCTTACTCAGCCGAAACACGTTCGTTTATGAGTTATCTGCAAGCGGCAAGTTGCGCTACCAATCTTGCAAGAAAATCCAATATCACTTAGAGCGCCTAAGATAAAGCTGGAGTAAAAAAGATGTAAAAGTTTTGTAGTGGGTCGAATCCATTTCTGCGGGCAAGGGGGGCCTATGTGCAATTCTAATTGTTTAATGCCTTTGCATTTGGGGTAAACACAGCTACCGCGATACTCACCGACAGAGTGTACCCAGCTGTCAGTTTTCTGCCAAACCCCCCATCGACTTCCTAACCTCCGTGGTTGTCCTAGTTTGGATTACAACAACTTTTGCTTGTTGGTATTACTCAATGTGTCACGTTCATCCTTGAATTTCTATTCGTCCTGAGTTGCCAGTTGTGACAGCCGCCCAATCACACTAATGCCTCACCGGCCTCTTCAATAAGACGCAGACCTATGTTAAATCTTGAGTCGTCGTGGTCATTGATTGCCTAATAGAGAAGTCTGCAAGCAGATTCTCTCGATCATTGCATTGCAGTTTCCGAACATTGTTTCGAGCGTTGAAATTGTTCTTAAAATATTTGCATTTAAATCGATTTTACGAGTTTGAGTTTTTGTTGAAAATTTACCTTATCAAACCCTCACCTAAGTCCCGTTAAAATTTATAGGAAATGTTGATATTTTATACAGCTCTCTGCGCCTAAACATTGCCTACACATATAATAAATAAATACTGTATATGTATGTATGTAAGTATATCTATATGTATATATATATAGGAAGTAAAATTATATATCATTTTAATACTTGTTGAGGCTGAGTATGAAAAGTTCGGCTTAAACCCTACACTAACACTAATTCGTATGTTTGGCAATAATTTTTTTTTTTTCTATTTTTATAAATAACTCTTTAATAATTAATTTTATTTTTTATGTTTTAGTTATGAAATGAATCCAAATCATATATTGACTTGTCTGAAAAAAACGAAGCTCTTAAGATATCAAAAGTGTTATAGTGGCATCGTTTATTAAATTCATACATTTATTAAGCTTAACACTTATTAGATTTTATATTGTGTTGCTTTACATTTTTTACAGTGTAGTTTCAGCCTATGTTAAAATAAAGGTATGCATACAAATGCATGTTGCGCGGTGCATGTGTATGTGTGCTTACTCTTTGACTTTCAATTTATTAACATTTTAACACATGGCTAAGCCTGCGCAATGAAAAGAAATCAATAACATATTGTGTGTAAATGCATAGTGTCTTGTCATTACGGTAATGATCATTAACGAACATTATGTTTAATAATGTTCTAAAGTTTTTTTTTTTTTTTTTTTTTTTGTAAATATGTATTGCATACAGGTGTCGCTTTGAAAGGAACAGATAGTAAAGATACACGGACAGACAAAAACAAACATAATATTACATTATTCTTGACTTTCAATACAATGTTGGCCAGGTAAATGCAATTAAGGTATAAGCGTAATTCACTTATAAGAAAGACATAAGAGGCATATTTGTATGTCGGTTACCCGATTCGGCTTTATTAAATTTCCTTAATTACAGTTTTTTACTTCATTCAATTGAATATTTATTTATTACAAAATAATATTCAATTGATAATGTAGAGTAACGCTATAGTTTCAATCGTATAACTCATGTCCGTCCCTGATATTATACAACTTTTTATTTAACTTATCTCTCCTCCCTTTCGCTCTTCTCTTATTACGCTCGACATCATTTGTGAAAAAGATATATTATATATGTGCGGATGCATGTCCGTCTGTCAGCCCCTTGTTTGTTTACGTATTTTTCTAATTAATCAAAAAGTTTCGAATTTTTGATATACTTGGATGAATTTCGATACACAATGATTATATTTTGTCCCGATAACGAAACCGATTGTCAATGAATTGAATCGGATCATTCCTACTACAGCTCTCTTTTTATACAAAAATAGTGCTAATATGCAAAAAAAAAAAAAAAAACGACCATTTTAAGCGTTTCTCAATCAAAATCCATGAGAGACAATATTTCGATACACGAAACATAGATGGAAATTTTGAATGGGGATAGAATGAGATTTATTGAATTGCCTTTTATAACCTTTTCTGTGGTAGCAAGATTTAATTTTTACTTATTTATGATAAAAATTGGGATAAAATAGAGGTTTCATATATAAACGTATTGTACGTAGGAGCATTTTGTCGATCGCTCTCTAGATAAGGATTCTGATCGGAAGTACATTTTTAATATGGCAATACGAGGTACAGTTTTTCATAATTTCTGATGAACATTAATTGAAAGCAATCATCTGATATATAAATTTACTTTGTTAAATTTGCCTCACATTGACTTCTTTCTTGAATTCCCGCCTATCAGAAAATTCATTATAAAAAAATTAATTTTTTTATATGATTAAAATTCATAATTTTTCTTAAACATATATACAATTTCAGAGTGTAGTAAATCGAATGGTCTAGGTAGGTATTTAAGAGGGTCGACCTCACCTGGCTATAACATTTTGATTTGTATTTTCTTTATATGTCTGTCTGTCATACTCATTCTTCGTTCAGTGAGTGTTGGTAATTTTTCGTTTGATTACACGTCTTTCACATCCTACATGCAAACAAACGTACATAAAATATATACACAAACACATATGTGTACCTATGAATGGGAAAAGTAAACAAGTGCAAAACTGTTCGTTCACAGAAAGCAGACAAAGTCAAGCTTAAGGTTTGTGCTGACGTTAGACCAAACGTCTTATAAGTAAGGCCAGGTAAACGGTGATTAAAGTGTTGGCTTTGGTCATCATGATGTTGACGACGGTGTAGTGTTTAGTAAAGCGTTAACATTATTGTCAAAATGTTCGCTTAGGCCACATTGCGATTCGACATTTACATTTAGTACTGTTCCAGAGTTTTGCTTGCAAAGACATACTGACTGTTTGGCTGAGCAGTGATTTTAAAGCAGTTTTTTAGTTCAGCATTTAAATAGCATTAAGAATTCATGGAACATATTTGTATGTATAAATACATATATAAATAAACAAAATTTGATAATGAAAAATTTCTAAAAGAGAGAAATTTTTAAATAATCTAAGAAATTTTTTATAAATTTTTAAACACAAACAAATTAAGTAAATAGCAGTTTGGTTAAAACAGCAATTAATTATGATTTTTTCTTCTTTTAACCATTTTTTACAAAATTAACTCAAGTCGGTGTAATTGCAATTAATTAGTTAATTATTTTAAAACGCGTGATAAATTATTGATTTTAAAAATATTTTTATTTTATTTTTTTTTTGCATTTTTTACGTTTCGTGCAAATCGTGTGCGTGCGTGTACGTGCGTTTGCAAAACCAAAAACTACATACCGAGATTCATTAAAATGTTTCCTATACATCAGCTAACGTTTATTTTAATAATTTCCTGCCTTAATGTAAAAGTGGTATATACGCAACACCAGCAACAACAGCAGCTGCAACAATACGAATATGAACGACCATCCACATCACCAACACTACCTATTTTAGAATCTAACAATATTGACAGTAACAGTAGCACTAACAGCAATAGCAGTAAATGCGTCAACAGCAGCAACATCACCGACAGCAGTAATAGTATTAGTAGTAGTATTAGTAGTAGTAGTGGTAGTAGTAGTAGTAGTAGTAGTAGTAGTAATAGAATTAGTAGCAGCAGCAGCAGTGGCGGCATCAGTTTTTCAATTGGAAAATATTATGGTTCTGGACAAAAACCACATAAACAACAAGCACAACAGCAACATGAACAACAAGAACAACAAGAACAACAACACCAACCACTGCATTCATTTAAGAAATTGCCCGATAGCACCACTAAAGGCTTTAGGATGCCGTTACCAATGGCCAAACAACTAACAGCCTCACGTAGACCAAATCCATTTAAAAAATGGTTCGGTGTTTTCAATCGGAACATTGCAGCACCAACATCAACCACACCATCATCAGCGTCATTATCGAATACATCAGCCGTTACACTAAACACAACACTTAATACATGTTCGTGCAGGTAAATATTCTATATATTGAGACTTTTTTTTTTTTTTGTTTGGTTGATTTCTTGCTTTTTGTTTTGATCTGACATACTCTAATGTGCTTGATTTCATAACCGTGCGAATTGCATAAACGTCTAACTGTTGTCATACGTTCGTCATGGAATCATATTAAGAAAAAGACGCCAAAAGAATGCTGAAAAGGGAATTAAACTCGAAAGATATTCTCACAGCCGGTTAAAAAAAGAGTATCATCTTTGACTGCGTTTAACTTTAAAATAAGCGCAATAAGGCAATAATAGGAAACCTTCAATTTAGGCCGACTTTTCAATACCCATCATTAAGCCTATAATTAGAAGAAGAAAATCTTCTAAAATGTACATAACAACTTCTTATTAGTTTCCTCTGCGTGTCTACAGTTTTTTGATTTATTCGCAGAAACTTCTTCGACCTCGAAGACAAAAAGAATATCAATACGTAAGACCAAGAGAAAAGTTATGTTTAAACTGAACCGAGCAAGTGAATATAAGCTAAATAAATGTACTTTTTTCCATATACGCCGACTGTAAAAAAATACGTAATACATAGGTGAACAAGTACTGTAGCAAAAAAATTTCACTTTATTCATCAGCACAATCTCCTTTAAGTTTAACGTTTTTATAGAATCACTTAACAAAAGCCTAAAAGTACGGCTTAGTATCCGCAATGACTTGATCACTTTACTTGAAACCTTTTTCTTAGAGCAAGTCTTCAAAACGTGAAAGAAGTTCCGCCAGTTCAGATCTGGAGGGTGTAGGGCAGCAACGCATAGTTCCATTCCAATAAATTTTACAATGACAGCCATTGACTTGTGATACGACGCATTAGTGGACTTGCTGAAAGTACATTTCCCGTTTCGTGACAATTTCCCCTTCCAATTAAATCAATAGTGCGGTATAGTATTCGTGCTTGCTTTTCCAAAATAGTCGATGAACACGATAGGTAGGACGTAACCTTCTTGGCTGATCGTTGCATTTTCGGTTACCTTACACGGCTTTCGACAGGCGCTTCCCACTCAAACGAGTATTGATACGATTCAGAATTGTGTTGGCAAACCTCTGTTCCGTTAAGTAGTTTGAAAAAGCGATCGAAATAGGTCGCAGGTCAATGTTTTTATTCTAATGTGAGTAAACGCGATACACAATTTGGAAAAAAGCTTTTTCATACCTAAATTGTAATTGGAAAATAGTGAAAACACTGGCTTTTCATTCCTTCTTCACTTGTCGATTGCTTGTCCATAGGACTTTTTTGATATGTTGTCTGCTGTAAATGACTCTTCTTTGGCTTTCGCTGCGCTCAACATCGTCGATATCTTTACGTCTTTGTTTTAAAACCATCCAATTACTAACTAATTGTTGTTTTTGACGGAGAACTCTTCAAGTCAATGCTGAGTTTGAACTATGCTTTTCCATAACAGGGGGCAATACTTCACCGTTCAATAGACGAAATTCAGATTTCTCTATTGTTGTGAAGCAATCAACATTTTTAAGGCGACTACGATTCCTACGCCATTTTGGTAAAGGCGCGTTATTCACGAGACTTATTGACCGATGGGATCCCGGGTCCGTACCATTATCTCAATATTTGACGTGCATATCTAATGCAGAGGGCATGTGAATACAAAAAACAGTCAAAAGGTAATTTTAGATCCGATACATCGAATTTTAACTATCGTCCAAAGAAATTTCGTACATTTATTGCGCACTTTTCATTCTACCCCATATACGTTTTCACTGTTACACTCAATACTTAGATGCATAGAGTTTCAATTCGATATCTGACGTAGTTAGAAATATGGATAAATCTGTAGCACACAGTGAATAAATTTCAAATCTAAAGGTGCGGCAAATTTTCCGCATACTTGTCGAAATGGTTGTATGGCTAAACTTACCAGTTAGCACATGCTACGTAGAATTAATTAAAGCCGTAACTAATTCGAACTAGAACTTCGACTAAGCTGCTTAAGAATGTGAATAGTTTATGATGACTGCGTTACGAAAGTCGAGCTAATAGTATATAATAAATATTTTAAACAAAATACTTAACATCGTCAAATGAATCCACATTAAACACATATTTTTATTAGCGGCCTTTTTGAAAAGTCTGCCTACTTTAGGTTAGATACGTTACAGAAATATATTTTCTAAGCAAATTGAAAGCTTTAGTTTTTTGCCTTTGAAAAAAATTTATAGATCACTCATTACGAATACTTATTTGAAAGCATTAATAACAGGTTATAAGTTTTACATCGGGTTATGTCAGTCCTTATGCAGATAGAGATGGTGGACAGTACCACCTGCTTTCGTGTAAATAATGCAATACATCCCAAATATTTTACTTTGTTCTACAACGATTCAAATGTCGGATCTCTCAGACTTCGAAAGCGGTCAGATTGTTGGGCGTCGAATAGCGGGAACGTTTGTGACGAAAACAGCTGAAATGTTTAACGTTTTATAAGCAGCAGTCTTCACGATAGTGAGAACATACACAAAACATAGTAAAACATCATTTATGAAGAGGAATACAGCTATCGTGGCAAAAGCGACAGGAGAATTCGACACTCGCTTTAGTAATATTGTTTGGACATAAACAGGGCTCCACAAATCTAACAAGGCTGCAATGGTAAAATCCTTTATAACATAAGCCAACGCTAGGCTGGGCAAGAAATGGACGCCGCGATCAAAAAGTCTCCACACTTTATTATTGGAAGGATGCGGTCAACCATGCTTCACATTGTTATCTAAAAACGGTTTCTCCGGCGACGCGGTTCTTTCCCTTAGAGAGTCTTGAAGAGTGTTGTGTTGGCTTGCAGGCTTCCGCACCGCATAGTCAATACAAAGACGGTCCAGTATATAACCTCATGGTTAAGAAGGGGCTAACGATAGTTCAGTGCCATAAGGTGCCTGGCGTATGCTGGGTTGATTACTTCTCCCGGTACAATAAATCCAAGGATGAAAGCAGTTGGATGGCTTCTTACGAAGTATGGATAATGCAAGTGCGAACGTGATGAAGATAATGACACGCATAATGCCCGTAATTCTAAAGCATTTTATAATAAAACTATAGAATCCACGGCGGCTCATTCAATGTCATGTGTACCCGTTTACACGGGCACGGGTGGCGGCATCTGTTACATAGACCTGTCGATTGATGCTTAGCAGGATCCCTGAAGGGAAAACTTGCGTTTATATACACTATGTAAGGAAACTCAGGTCGAGTCTGTTATATACAATCGCAATTTGAACGCAACAGATTCAAGCGGCGTGTGACGACTGACCGCTTGGGTGCGGCCCTTCAGGGAGTGCACGTGGTGGCTGTGATATCCCAAAATGCGGGCGCATTAAATACAGGCCTTAATCTGCCCAGAGAGGAAGATTTGGACGATACTTAAACTTTTATTTTTGGTATTTCACTCTTGGAATAGGCCCTCTCTCCTGCGGGATTGTCTTGCGAGGCTGAAGGAGGTCGAATTCAACTAATTAATCGTTCTAGAGGATCCGTCCGATAGGGTTTCATGCCACGTGCAGACGTTAACTTTTAACATAATCTGCTACTTGAAAACGGTTGGATTTATGTATGGGGAATCTGCCTGTTTATTACCGTCAAGCATGAGGAAGATTCGGTTATGATTTGAACGACTATGGTATTCACGGTGTTAAGCTAGACCTCCTGTTCACATTACTAATCGGATTACTGTGACTGAGCATCACGGTATCTTCAATGATGAACTTCTTAGTATGGTTACCATACTGCCGCCAAACACTGCCGTATTCCAAGATGATAATGCGCCTATATACTTGGCGAAGAAGTCCAGTTTTGGTTTGAGGAGCAACAGACTATCATCAAACAAATTGTCTGGCTAGCCCAATTACCAGAACCCAACAAGAACGAATGGCTATGAGGAACTTTAGAGCAGAGTGACGCAATTGGCGGATGTTCAGGAACAAGAATGGGGCAACATTCGACGAATCTTTTCCGCGGAGAAGTGCACCTGTTCGACAACCACTCGGCGGCCAATTATTTCGATAATAAATGAATATTGGGTTTATATCAGGTGGGTACATGCCCTGCAAATGTGTAGCTGACTAAATAGTGCAATACCTTCAATAAAAGTATTTTTTGTTTCTTTTTTAGTTGAATATCACAATTCACAGTTGTAAAAACTATATATATAGAATAATAAAATTATGCTCTCTGATACGGATCACCTCAAATCTCCATATAGAGAATGGAAAGTATTTTGCTTAATGCGGTTGCTTCCATTGGTCCGATCGCAGCTAGTCTAGTAAGAGTATTCGTAGATGGTATATGGGAGATGAAGGCTTCTCAGTTTTTGCAATTTAAGGCGTTCCAGCAATAGACGATAAACAGGCACACAATCCTACGAAGAGACAATCAGACTTATATCCAACTATAATCTTAAGCCGATTGGGAATGTATCTACTTTATGGAGTGTATAGTGCTTAGTTTTTAAATGTTTCAACTGATCTCTTGGTGATGGGCACTTACACAAGGATATAACTTTAAGAGGACTAAGAGTTTTATCTTATATTATTAACCAGCAGGATTCTAACTAGAGCATAACCGATATTAGCTTGTTCGCTGCTAAAATCTGCATTAGTTAATCTTCCTTGTCATCATAATACTGATTCTTAGTCCCGCACCCAAAACACCGTATGAGTCAACTATTGGAACATAGTTTTCTTATTATATTTAAAATACGTAATTTTGGGTAACTTACAATTCTGCATCAAATTGCTCGGTCGTCCGAACGTTCATTTTCGAAATTAGGATAATAACAATTTTGTTTTTTTTTTGTCGGTCAGTCAAGCTTGAAAATGGATGCAATACGTTCGTAAGCATTATCATAATTGCTAAGAATAGGAAGAAAACTTTAAAAACTACTGCTCGTAACGGACATCGACTTTGAATTTTGATCAAACTTTTAAGAGGACCCCTAACCAATTCAATACAGAAATTGTTCCAGTAGATCTATTGAGACGGCAACAATTAATAAATTCGTTTATGTTGATTGTGTTTAGTTATCCACTCGCTTGGCAGCCGTAGTCGATATCTAAAAGAGTGAGCATACATTTTTTTGCTGGTGTTTTCTTCTTGTAGCATTCCAACAATGTCCAGAATATCGAAAACATGATGAATTCACTTTTATACGTACTCGAATGTAAAAATGTGTTTACTTGTAGTTAATTAATTTTAGGTCCAATGACACATTTTTTTTTTGTTTGTTTTTTTTGTTTTTTTTTTATAAAACTGTCCTCATTATTAATATGCTACGCATGATTCACGTACACAAGAAGTTACAAAAAAAAAGAAAAGAAACATTTTTTCGAAAGGGATTAACATCAACTTGAGAAGTTATTCGTATTTTATTGCATGTTTTACTAAATAACGGACGTGCACTCTGTCAATATTCAGGTCGTGTGTATTTTAATTTTATTTTTTTCTTTTTTTTTTTTGTGTTTTTTGTTGATAGCTTGCTTTCGAAATTATCACCAAATAATCCCAACAGCATCTCTTATGAGCTACAACAAATTTTGAAAAAATTAAGAAAAAAAAAATTTATTTTTTTTTCTTATTTATTTATTTTCTTTGTTTGCAGAATTTTAAATTCGCGCAATTTTTTTCTTTTAATGCAAAACGAGTTTCTTGAGAGTAAGCTGTGTAACTGTAAAATTAATTTAATGCAATCAAGCGAAGAATCTCTTTGATTGGTTTGCGGTTATATCATTTTACATGTATGCTATGATGTTGTCAGAGTTGAAAGGTTAAATAAACCTTTTGATATCCATTACAGAGGATATATTAGACTTGGGGAGCGCGTGGACGGCTGGTTTTTTGTTTGCTTACTTGTCCGTTACTCTCTTTCAAAGAACTCTTCCAATTTGAAAACTTTGCATAGAAAGATTAACCAAGTTGAAGTAAAATCGATCCTTCGATCAGTCCAAAATCAGCAGCATTACAACCGTTCCTCGTATAGCGATACGATTAATTCGTATCGCGGTGCATCGAAACTTTTTCATTTATTTATTTAAACTGACTTACAATATTGAATAATATGTGCATCGGTCTTAAGGCGTAAACTTTTTCAGAACTAAAATATCGTTTTAAATACACATATAAACGCTTAAAAAAAGAAGATTTGAAAGGCAACATTCAATATGACAAAATTAAATTTCATCAAAGATTAGAGTTAATCTTTCTTCTTTTTTTTTTTGTCAAACTTGATTGCAACTCCTCCTCTTATTACGAATGGGATAAAAATCAAGCGGAACACATATTCGACTTTTTAAAATCGTATTATATGAAAACCGTATTACAATATGGTGCAAAGTGTGCACGTTCGATACATACCGTGTTATACGAGTTACCTTTGCATGCAATTTCTAGGTTATACAATCGTTCCCTCACCCAAAAGTGCTCCCAACTTTTATTAAAAAGTGTGATTTAAATTATATATAATAGAAGATGTAAACGATACCATATATGACAAATATGCAAGGTGATTGGGACTTAAATCTATTACGCATCAACGCGCAAACAGTATATAATATGAATGATTGCGTATACGATCAATATATCGGCTGGCGGTACCTTTGTTGTACTTTTTCATACATCATATGCAAACTAATGCTGGGTAATCTAAGATTCGAGATAAACCGCAGTATATTTTTTACATGTTGCTTTTATAACTTATTGAATTTCTTGAAGTGTACAGTCCCGCCTATACAATCCGCAAATATTTAAAAAGAAAAATGAACATATGTTTGTACAATTAAACGTAATGTATGCTTGTTTATACATATTACTGCGCTTCTAATCCCTGCTGCTAGCATCTTGAGATGCTAAGAACTGTTTCAATCCAGCTCAACTTGCCCTTCATATTCACAATTTACATATCAAAAGTGAAGATTGGACCTAACCGGCCTAGAAGAAGGAAAATCGTTCTATCGAAAAGAAAGCTATTTTATTTGAAAACAAGTAAAAATGCTGCAGTTGGACAAAGCCCAACATAAAATACCCTAAACTATATCGCTTAATACAGTTATTCATATAACAGTTGTTCAAAATGAGATGTGTATGTGGTCGAAAAAGTGGTCCGATCCGAACCATTTTCAATAAAACTCGTCCTTGGGACAAACCATTTCGTTAAACCAAATTTTGTTCAAAATATCTCCAAAATGTCAACCTGTAGATTGAACACAAGAAAACAAAGTATACGGACGGACAGATAAGCTTGAATCGATTCGGGAAGTGTTTCTGAATTCGTCGTTATAATAAAAAGTGAATGATGCACACACATTTCTGAGCGACTTTATGCATATACGATTGTTGGCTCCAGCTGCGCCAAGGGGTACAGCATCACGAATCGGTTAGCTTCAGTACAACGCATTTTATCAAATGTGTGAATTTCGTAACAATACTCGACCTTACATCGAATTTTCTTGATGATTTTTAAAATGTTGACAAAATTATCAACAAACACTTTATATTTAAGGCACGTAATAACACCCCTATCCACAAGGAATTATACAGAATAGACTCCGTTGACATTTTTATTTTTCCATTTCTTTGACGTATGTTCGATGTAAGTGCTACTATAAACAGATAAAAATTGAATTAGTAAGTCCATCCATGTAATGTGAGGATATGATATACGCTTCGAAATCTTATAAAGCACACGTATGCTTGATCGACGTGAATTTCTGTGAAGATCTTAGTGTATGTAATCTAGAGAATGTCTTTCAATGCAAATTAAATGTCATAGTTAAAAGTTTAACTTAAGCTTGAATGTAGTTTTAATGTAATCAATTAAAAAGTTCATGAGAGGTGTACTGATGAGCAGAAGTCGAGCAATTCTTAGTTACTTATCTGCAACTAGTGTTATGCAATAAATTGATGCCGCATTCAAAGCGATTCATTATTCTCTATGATACTCTCTGACATTCACGGTTCATGTTAAAGTAAATATCATTCGGTCTCTTACGTATTTACTTACAGTAAATGAAATGCTGGATAGCAATCGAGTTTACAAGCACTGCTAACGAATTTAAGTTATTTATTTCAAGTATTCAATGTTGCTTAATTAATTCTTATAGACAAACGTTTCAATAGGTGAACGCAAACGAATCGACTTGGAATTTAATGGTATGCAAGAGCATAAATCGTTCATAAAGAGTTCTAAAGAACATTGTCTCTCTTTCTCACTACGTACAGCAACTAGATTCGAAAGTGAATGTGTAGCAACAGTGGACGGAAGTTACGCTACGCTGCAGCATATTTGAGACGTTTGGGCGATTGCCAAAATCTTTGCGTAGATTTTCTTAAATGATCCGTTTGTTTAAAGACATTTTTAATTAAATGAAATTCGAAATAATTTCTTGCTGTTGATTGTGTCGTCGTCGTTTTATGGTCTCATTTTTATACCTTTTTTTCCTTTTTGTTTTATTTAGATGTGGCGAACGCAACGATGAGTCACGTATCGTTGGTGGCTCGACTACCGGCGTCAGTGAATATCCATGGATGGCCCGTCTTAGCTACTTTAATCGGTTTTATTGCGGCGGCACCTTAATAAACGATCGTTATGTATTGACAGCTGCTCATTGCGTAAAAGGTTTCATGTGGTTCATGATTAAAGTTACTTTCGGCGAACATGATCGTTGCAATGACCGAGAACGTCCTGAAACGCGTTTCGTTTTAAGAGCTTTCACGCAGAAATTCAGTTTTGCAAATTTTGATAACGATATTGCGTTATTGCGTCTCAATGATCGCGTGCCTATTACTAGCTTCATACGACCGATTTGCTTGCCCCGTTACGATCAACGTCATGACCTTTTTGTAGGCACTAAAGGCATAGCAAGCGGTTGGGGAACTTTGAAGGAAGACGGTAAACCGTCGTGTTTGTTGCAAGAGGTTACCGTGCCCGTTTTGGATAATGAAATCTGCGTTGCCCAAACGAATTATACGCAAAAAATGATTACCAAAAATATGATGTGCGCCGGTTATCCGGGTAAAGGTGAGCGTGACAGTTGTCAAGGGGATTCGGGTGGTCCATTGGTACGTATGCGACCCGACGATAAACGCTACGAACAAATTGGTATCGTTTCGTGGGGCAATGGTTGTGCTCGTCCCAATTACCCCGGGGTTTATACGAGAGTTACCAAATACTTAGATTGGATTATTGAGAATTCTAAAGACGGTTGCTTCTGCGAGGAGGGAATGTACTAAACAAAATGAAACCGTAAGGGGAATTAATGAAAACGACACAATACAGAGTATTTTAGTTTTAATTTTTATTTAACAAAAAAGACAAAAAATGTTATTCTATAGCAAATATATTAAATTAAGAAAATATTTGTGTTCTTCATAACTATTGAAGACTAAAACCTTTTGGAAAGGGTGAGGTGAAAACAAAATAAACAATTTGTTTGCCTAAGTTATTCTATTCTATTTATTTTATTTATTCATTTATGGCATTTTAATTTTTCTTTGTGAACATTAAGTTTTTAAGTATCTAAGGCCGAGTAGGCAAGGCATCTCGACTGACAGCTCAATGATCGTGGGTTCAAATCTCAAGTGCGATAGAGCCGATATCCTTACGTGCTAGAGCTTTAAGACTTTATTATTGGAATTCATTTCTCTGGCTAAATTAATTATGATAATAGTAGCAATAATAAGTATTTCAGAGTTGCAATGTACAAGTGAGGTGAGCAGATTAAGGAAAGTGTCCGGCCTTTCTCTCTCTCTCTCTCTCTCTGTTTTTATCTCTATCCCTTCTTCTTTTTTTCTCTCTCTTTCTCCTTTCGCCCGTCAGTGTACATATTTTTACCTTGTATCCTAACATATCTATAACTCGGCTACCTAAAATACGGTTAATTTGTACCATGGGGTATCGAAATTGTGTTAAACGAAACTTTCACATTTTGTTATTTAAACTAAACTATCATATACAATAACATAATTTTGCACAGTGTTAGTAACCATGTCTACCTGCATGTCCGTCTGATGAAATCAAGATTATGTTTTTAAAAGTTTATCAAAAAGACCTGCCGTCGCTCTAAATTGTTCTTTCTAAATTTCAACAAATAGACCTCAGAAATCGGTACGCCAGATCGTCTTAATCTATCTATGTGTTATGGGGTCAACAGGTCGCAATGTTTCGCAATATCTTGATGAAATTGTCTCAAAAAGGAATACTGTTGCATTGCATGCCATCGCATGAATTGAATCGGACTATTTTTGCTTTGGCATTCTTTATAGACCGCCTTATTTCGGAAAAATTATCACGTGAAACTTATTACGATAGTCTATAATTCTCGATAATCAATAGTCGATAAAGAGCGAAGAAAATATCATACTACTTTGGAACTACCCCCCTCCCCCCTCTAAACCCTTATTCTTCTCGCGAAAAATAAGTCTCTATTATAAGGAAATAAAAAATAAGGGTAAAGTTTGGGTATTTTGTGCTAACAATCGGCTTGGGAATGTAGACCACGTAGGCTTTTATGTGGCCTGTTTCTAAGCTTCTGAGAAGTAAGCTTTAATTTTTTGCATAAAATAATAGCTAAAAAAAGGGGTAATTAGCATTAAAACAATATGACCTTCGAGCTATTTTCATATTTATATAAAAATAATCATCCTATATAATGTTATAGACCTTTCAGATAAAGAAAATCAAATATCATTTCGCTCTTTTCCAATTAAAGATACAACAAACACAATTTAGAAATTTATATTCGACTGTGACCGAATCGTTTGCACCCACAAACTTTATCTTAAAAGAAAAAAAAAAAAGAACAAAAGAAAATGAAATTGAAAATGAAACTTCGATACTTTATAATATTGGCTGAACATAGCCGATTTTCTCTCTTTTTCTAAGGGTAGTAGTGTAAGATCACTTATAGAATATACGCAGAAGTTTTTATTGTCAAACCTATTGCGATTTATGACTAATGAGCAAAACAAGAACAGCGACGTATCAAAAAAATATTAGGACAAATTTCCAAATGTTTGTCTCTGCCAAATTTGAAGCTGACATTTTAATTTTTCCAACCAAGAGAATGCTTATTACACACATGCGGATAGACGGACGAGCATATCTAAATCGATTCGGAAATTATGTTAAGCACGAATGTACTATACGACTCTACTGTCTCTTTCTGGATGTTATAAGCTATTAGACAACATGATGATAAGTCGAACTTGTTGGCAGTAGATATGTAATAAGAGAAATGGTCGGTATCAAAAGGCATAGTATCAGTCAAACATGCCATCGAATATATATCATCTTCATCCCAGTTTTTTCTTTCTTTTTTTTTTTTGCTCTTTTTTTTTTATCAAAAAAAGCACAAACTTGAGGTTCGATATGTATGTATGTATGGAATAGGAGGAAAACTAGTCTTGAAGAAATGTAACGAAAGCTCTAAATTACATAACAACTATAAACGAAAAGAAAAGGAAAGTGGTACGGAATGTAAGTGAAAGAGGGAGACAAATAAATGCAAAGAAACAGCTGAACAAATAGTAGTAAAATATATGTATATACGAGTACGTATATGATTATCGCTGAAAAGCTTTCCTATATCGAGAAACGAAAAGTTAAACAAAAACAATACATTTGGGCTCATTACAGCAAAAAAAAACGATCAAGTTTTTTCATATGTGAAAGGCTTTACTCAGTTTAAGATAAATAAAACTTTCTTGTTTATTAGGCATCTCGCAGAAGTATGTTGAATTTACAACGCACAAAAGCACACGTACGAGATTTAATACCGCAGGTAAAGACACGTTTAGAAAGGATACTGAGAGTAGAATGGAGAAAGTCCTTCGGGGAAATCAGGAAAAGGGTACTAGAGAATAGAGCGGATAAAAAAAAATTAATTCAAAGAACTTATCAGTGCGGTTGAATCACCAGGATGGCGTTAATCGATTGACATCCACATCTAAACGCCAAAGAACGAGATGTAAGCCGTAAACTCGTAACGCAATGCAATTGCATCGTCAGCTCTTAACGAGTTAAATATACCAAACCAATAAAACTTTCCTTAAGGTTATGTGTGTATGTAAGATAAGGTACAATGCTAAGAAACACACACTCTGAACCAGAACAACCAGAGACGTAAGCATATAAGCAAGAAGAAAGAGAAGATGCGGTTGCAAATAAGGCATCATCGAAACAAATCCTCGACTTCTATCGGATCTATAGATTTAATAGTTACTGCAAAACATATTGAAGTTGTCCGGTTTTACTCACGTTTTTGGGAAAACGCTATTGGATTAAGTGCGTCACTCTCGAACATTTCCTTAGAAAATTACAGAAGAAGCTGTTAGTTGTTTGAAGAGTCAGCAAATGTAACCGGATTCTTATTAATTCTGGTTCTGGTCTTGACAACACATGCAGTGATCTTCAGTAAGACACCGGACAGCCGGCCCGATTTATTTAATAATGATTCAAAATGAATAGATGAGGGGAGTAATTTTGAAAGAAGAAATGTCTGTCTGTTGAAGACGCATGGACTTGACGATGCCGATACTGGTAACTGGATCAACAACCGGATATTTAGAAGCTACAAAATTCTTAATATCATCGCGTGCTATCACGTATGAACGATAAAAGATGATATAAGGATCAAGTTTCGAGACTCCACCGCAAGTATTTTGTTAATTCATACATATGACAGCTAAGCGCACAGTCTTTGTCGATGCACAGCGGGTTGAAATTTCATTCGCTTTACCGATAAAATAAAGACGACTTGATGCATCTATTTGCTGGAGAAGTTTAAATTATAAGGGACTGAGAAGCGTTAAGAACTGACTTAGGAAGGGACTTGGATGAAGACTGAATCATAATGAACGCAAGTTGAAGAAGATGTTTAGAGGACCTAGTGCCGGTAGTATGAAAAAAAATAAATACAGAAGAAAAAGATTTTATTATTGGTTTCGTGGAGGATAGATCAAGTGAGCTTAGCGAAGGCTGAGAGAGAGAGAGAGAGAGAGAAGACTTTAGTTGTAGAAATGGATGGTAACGAGCTTGCAGGCGGGGGACCATCATAAGTTACGTCACGACAGGAAACGGATCGGGGAGTCCTCTCTGTTACCTCATCGATTTTAAGATAGACCTATATATAATAAGACCTATTTTGAATAGGTTTTAATGCATCCTACACCTAAGTTTAGGCGGATGTGTGCAATATCCAAAAGGACTTGAGATAGACTCACGTAATATTACACCGATTGATTCACAATCACTTTTTGAATCGATCTGAGCTTGCCTGTCCGTCTGTCCTTTTTCTTCATTTCTTGTATTCAACCCATGGATGGCAATTTTTGGGTTCTCCTCAATGAAATTTGATACGCCGAGATGTTTTGGTCCGAGGAAGAGCGCTACTGAAAACGGTTCAGATGGTGTCACTTTTTTGACCACTGGCCACTAAGCCTTATTTTGCAAAGTGCTTGTATGAGTAACGGTAGTGTTGAGTGTTAAACGAAGCGGTGTGAAGTATTTTATAGTGGTCCGCGGTCCACTATAGTGTTTTTATTAGTTTTTAATATTAATTAATCTTATTTTGACGAATAATTGCACGCCTAAACAATATTCTTTATTAACAATTTGATCTGATGGAAGGAATATTGTGGTATGGCAGCATATTATGGTATTCGTTGAAGGCTTACTCTCATTGCTTTTTGATCACCTTTCGCGTTGCGCAACAGATTAGGTTTAATATCGAATAATGAGAAAATCATCAATAATTACTTCGTTTAGAGGATGCTAAGGTGAAAAAATGTGAAAGTGTAAAGAAAAGCAAAACTAATACGGATTTTTTAATTGTTTATTTCAGTCGTTCAGTCGTTTACCTTGGTTCAATGACCTTCGTAACACATCATTAACGCGACATTTTAGTTCTCATTATAAGTCATTAAATTTTTTTTGTACTGTTTTAGTTAATATATAGAAAACTTATGGACGAAATATATTTGTGTGTATGTCGACTTATAATACTGTGATCGACAAGTACGACCAATATTCAAGCCATATTGCGCGGGCATGTCGTCACACATTAGAAATATGGTTTTTCTAAATTGATGGCACTGTGACAGACATCTGTGGAAAAGTGAAAAGATTTAAAACGCAACAAATTGAATTGATCTTACTTTTTGAACGCACTAGCATATAAAACATTTGCCTTTAAATCTCAATTTACTTCATTTTGTTATCTGCGATAAGATTCATATGAGACGATGTGGCACGAAATACGAATATTTCATGCTTTCTGATATAATCTTAATGAATTGAAGTTCTATTAAATGCCGAAAAAAAATTCCTTATCTCTCTACTCGTTATATATATGTATATAGCTCTCTTATGACGAGTTCTATTAATTAATAAATGGCGATCAATACTGTTGAGTTATAGATTTTGACACAAAAAGAAAAAAATAAAATAAAATAAAAAACAAAACAGCCTCCGCTCAATTCTGGTATAGCTTTACAAAAACTTACAGAGCAGAAAAGCTTGTTAAGATCTAGAGACGATAAGACGCTAGCTCTCTATAAAATGTAAACAATAACAACAATATTCAACATCTGAGAGATGAATATTATTTTTACTAAAAAAAAGTTTCTAGTAAGATGAGAAAACTAAAGTTAACAATAATGTTAATAAAAAAAAAAAAAAAATTACTTTTCTGTGACCGTTTTTGCATAAATCTTTTTTTCCGGTTTAATTGTATTCCATTTTTTTGAGATTTTTCTCATAACAGAAAAATATTTTAGATCTACTAATAAGTTATCTATATATACAAGGTATAGCAATGTGAGCAATCCGTAGGTAACCTTCAGTTTTTAGAGCATTATAAACTCTATATATAGAAGGTATTTATTAAGTTTTGTTTTGTGAGGTTACGTCCTTCAGCAAGCTCTAATTTCTGGTGATATTTCTCGTCTATCTATTGTCATATCTTTTCTTCTTACATATTCTACATCGATTGTGATGCTGTGTGTAACAACAACCAATCGATTCATAAGAATTTTGAGAATCATTTTCTAAATTGATTAATAGGCTTGTCTGTCTGTCTGTCTGTCTGTCTATACGTTTGATGGGTGTGCACGTGTCCTTGTATTCAATCTGAGTAGCTCGCAATTTTGAGCTATATTGATAAAAATTCGTACACCAGCGCGTATTGGTTCAAGGGCAGACCCTGTTCAAAATGAATTGAATCGGCCTGCTTTTTCGACCTTTTTGCTCATGTAACATCGTATTTTGAAAAGTGCCATTACATCAAAAATGGTTGCAATTTTCATGGACCGGACCAACTCGCTTACATGTAAATGCTGCTCCTTTACAAGGACATAAAGTACTTACGCTTTGTTCCTATGTTGCGAACATAAATGAAGAGCTTGGTTAGGCAAAATGACACTATCGAATGGTCGGCTTGCCCGATCGTAGCTTTATATATATATATAATGTAAGTTGGTGGTATACCATGTATATATAAACAACCATATTATTCTTATGTTCATGAAAGTTGGCTCATTTTGGAAACCTGTGTTTGAAAGTTGAATTTTTCGAATACTTATACTAATAACTACCGTTGTATAAGCTCGACTTCTCGGCGAATATTGTTTACGATATATTCACACACACATTTTACATTACAATTAATCCGAAAAACTAATAGGCCAAAAGTTTTAAATTGCATGACCTTGGTGGTCAACTGATGTCTTCACCGAACCAGGATCATAATAAGATTATTGCTTCACGGCTAGTGTGTCAAGTCCCTTCGTCCCTTCTTATTGAAACTGAAGTTTGGTTACGTGGACTTTATCGAATTTTAAGCCACTAAAGCTTAATTGTATTTACAATTCCTTCTTAAAAATGAACGATGACAGTGACAAAATTTACACCAAACAGTGACGTTTCGAGTATGTAATGGACTTCCTTTGTGTATTAATGTGTGCACTGCGTATCCGTTGTGATAACGTATAGCCAACTTAAAAATAGTTCCGCAGCTTGACTATCAAGTTAGCAGGATCGGATTTAACCCTTAAGGCAATAGACCTTTCCTTTATTAGAAAAAGTGGAAAGTGCCAGCTACAGCGAAAGCTCGCTGGATAAAGGCATACGACCCTTCGCTGAGGGAAGTACTCCTATTCGCATAACGCGGTGACGGTTAGAAAGAAGTGAGGAAAGAAGAAGGAAGAGAGAGACAGGGAGATTGTGGCCGTAGCCTGGAGGATGTGAGCTCAACCAATAAGTGTTATGCCTTTTCCGACTGGGCACTCGTTATAGCTGCGACCAACGTAATCTTTACTACACTGAGACTTGATCTCGCGAACACTGCCTATTTCGATCTTACCACTTCTTTCTAATCAAAAAGAATCTAAAAATCACAAGGAAGGTTCGGACACTTTACTCGATATACATATACATAGATCACATATATCGAAAAGATCGTGTTATTGAAAACACGATTCGATCAAAGGCAGGACTAATGAAAAACTCTGTTCTTATAAGTTCCCTAAACAATAAATAGAAACTCAAATTAGGGAAACGATTAAGACTTCCCCATGAGCATGCCTGCAATGGCCAAATAACTGAATGTAGAAACGAATCCATGCCATTATCATATAAAAAATATTGATTCAAGACTTGCCAAGACTCGGCAACACTTGACATTCATTTGAACAAGTTCAAGTATTTAAATTAAGAAGAAAAAAAAAAACGTTAGAACTTTCATATACCTTACCTTAGGCAACGATGGGTATCGAAAATTCGCTTAGCGACTACGGCTTTTCTGCCCGCTTATAATAAGTTTTTGTTTTGTTTGGTATAATAGCTGATAACAAAGCATAGAAAGCAATAGAAACAAATATTTTTCTAATAAATTTTTTATTATTTTTGTTTAGTTTTTTTATTTTAGTTAACTGTTTTTTAGTTATTAATATTATTCAATTTTATGAAAAGCAACAATAATTCCGAAACTTTTCAAACACGCACACGTAACCACCGCTCGCTTCAACGGAGAGAATGGTGCGGATGGGACGGGAAGGGGGGCAAGGAGGAAAAAGCAAACATCAAATAGCTCGACTCATCAATTACACAAAACATGCAACTGACTGATAATCTTGCGGAACGTGTTTTCCTTTTTTTTTGTTCGCTTAATGAAAATAATTTACAACGATTTTCGGTTATTTGTTATTCCTTTTTTTTTTTTTTTTTTGTTTTCTAAGTTTTCCTCAATTTCGGTATTAATAATAAGGTTTTATTTTTCGCTTAATTTGCTCTTACTTAGGAATTTTAAATATATTTTCAGGCAGATAAATTTTAATCTATTTATTTACAAATTTCTTTTCAAAATTTTTTTTTTAACAACATTTTTATTTTGAATATTATTTTCTTTCACGAATATTTGCCACATGCCGATCTCGGCAGTGATCTTTCGCTTTATTGTGGCGGCAGGTATTACTTATTTTTGTTGCGGTTGTTTGCTTATTACTCTACTCTATTGTTATGTGTAGTGTTGTTGTTGATATTGTTAAAAAATAATAAGCTTATAAGAAAAACTTTACTTAAGCATCCGGTAATAATTTGCGGACTATTGCGCTTAGTTAGGGAGTCGGGGAGTTATCTAGCTACGAAGTAACGAATTGCTTCGCAAAAAGCTTTTTTATTTTCCACGGAAAATCAAAAAAAGTTAAAAAAAAAAATAAAACAAACTAGTTTAGCAAGAGCCGTTCGCATAATACAATATACAAAATTTGCTCGTACAGATGCGTGTATATGTCTGCACCAATGTTTACTTTACTATCACTTTTTTTGTGTTTTGTTTTTTTTTTTTTTTTAGAATTATCTAAGAAAAGCTTATAATTAAACTTTTTAAAGCAAATACAACGACTTTACGATTATTGTTGGTATTATTATTGAGTCTATGCATAATTACAAAATTGAAAATCCTATCGATCTCAATTATTAAGTAAAAGGCGAAATTTGGGTCACTAATGACTTCGGAGACGCAAGAAGGAAACATATTAGAAACTTAGGAAAATATATATTTCATATGCATGAAGAAGCATTGACTACTTGTGTATGTTCGTGTGTGTGCGCACTTACTTGGGATATTTCATCTATGGTATTATATGGTATAGTGTAAGCAAAAGAATCTCAGTGTTTTATATTTTAGTGTCTGACAATTAGCTTTTAGTGGTTTGTTGCAAAACCCTTCTTTTTCATAAAGAGGCTTGACGGATTTTCTTAACCCTACTCGGATCATGTGCATCTTATAATAAATAGCATCACGCTGAGCCTCACAACCTCTTCTAAGCATCATGGGAATAATTAAATGTTACTGCCTTTGATTGTATTTTGATGTCATTAATTTATTCAAACAAGTTTATATATACAAGTATATATATAAAACACTATAAAAAAAAACGCCTTATACAGAAAGTGGTGGAAAAAGTACTTTGATTCAAACAATTTTCAATAGCATTCGTGCTTTAATCAGTACACAATATCTTATCAAAATATCTCATTACGCCCCATATGTTTAATACAAGAAAACATAGCGGACAAATTGATATAGAAGCTTAAATCGATTCTGAATCTGTGGGTATAATAAAAGGTTGATGTATCTAAAATACTTTCAGATGTTACACGCATAATTAGGATTGGATATAATAGCATAAATGGTGTAGCCATGTCGGTTGATTTGTGTGTTTTCTCCATTGAAAAAATTACATCGACTTAAGCCGGGAAGTAGAAGAAAATAATTAATTTCAATTGTATTTATGAAATGGGACCATGTTTTAGTAGATATGCATAGAGACATCCGGCGGATTTTGGACACAAATCGAACGAATCCGCGACAACAACTTCAGGTTAAATTATTAATTTTGCTGCTGTCAACGTTTTTGTTTTGTTTTGTACTATAAAGACAATTTCTTTGAAAATGTCTTCTTTTCTACATGGCAATGCTCTTAACATGAGGTTGCTGTCCTGGAAATAAGTTTGCAAGCCAATGCTTTGTACGTTAAGATATTATTGCTTAATATTAAACTTTTCCCTGACAGCATTGCCACGTTTCTACTTCATATTTCATTCAAAGTAAATATTATAAAAATTTTTTCCAATCTTTGAGAGTTCACTAATTTATTACTTATATAAAATATGCTTAAGATAGTCGTAATAAATAAAATAAAATTGATTTGAGAAAAAAGATATCTCATTACTGTAACTTTTTAGCAGTGTCATCCACCAAACTCGTGATGCGATAATATTAAGGGTCTAAAATTGTTGCAAGCTTATATGGTTTGAAAGCAACTACTTAAACAGCTGTGTACGATGGAAATACGAAAAAAGATAGAAACAATATGGATGTTATTTTACTAAATTCTAGAAGAAGAAGAAGAATTGAAAACATGAGCAGCGACATCGTAAATGTACCAAAACATAAAATTATTTTAACTTTGTTGAATGGCACGGGTTACATATTCGAAATTAAAGGTTTGCGCTAAATAATTAAAGATATTTGATAAATCAAACCATAACGATTTTCAAGTGTTTTTCGCAGACTACATGTTTCTAAGAAAACATCATCACATTCTAGGAGCTTTGGTTGGTTCTTGCAATGCTCGAGGCTGCTCGCCGAATGAACAAAGTAAGTAGAGATTTATTAGGAAATAATTATGCTTTAGTAAATGTATTTCATACTAAAGCATTACCGATAGCATTGACATCACTGGAAACACAATTATTAGTGGAGGAAGGTATAGCTGTTATTGTTTCAAAAGCAACAGCTTTGCTCAAAACACCCACTGAATTGGATTTGCGTCAGTATAAAGACGGACTAAACGATCGCTTAACCGAACAGGCCGAAACGTTGAAACATCAAAAATTAAAAGATACAGAAATTAATTTAGATAAAATCATGAATGGTAAACGGAAAAAGCTTTTGCAAAAGGGTATACCAGAAACAGGTGAAAGCCGATTTAATTGCTCTTGTATAAAATGTAAGGAGGCTGACTCTGATTTGTTTCCCATAATTTTTAGAAGTCGACTTAAACCCCCAACAAGTTCTCAAAGAAATCGCTGATAATATAACATTTGATAGGAAGAATGCTTTATTGGAAATTTGCTGCGCTCATCCTGATAAACACAGTATGAATAACATATTTTTGTTAGGTTTCTTTTATACACAACAGTTTTTTTTTTTTTAGTTGCATCTATTGTTCAATTACCTCCGCTTGAGGAACATTCCCTAAAATATTTAGTATTTCGTGATTTTTGGTTGCGGGGTAAATTTGTTACCTCTGGTGATACGTTTGGTGCTGATTTTCTTATATATCCCGGTGATCCTTTACTTTATCATGCCTCGCATATTGTTGTATTATTGGATCATTGCAAGGTGGAACCTTTGGAGTTAATAGCAAAAGTTCGGCTGTCAGTAATTGTTAACAAACACTGCGTGTTTGCTTATTTGAGTGAACATAATGCAGGGGAAAAAGATTATTCTAAAATTTGTTATCAAACTGTATATTGGGAAGGCAATCAAGAGAGAGAGAGATCAAAGCAATAACCGTATACTTAACCCTCCAATAGTAAACATATGACAAGTGTATAATACTGCATATGCAACGGTAAATTTAGATCCATTAATTCCCTCTTAAATATGCGTAATTTTGTTCGCTATTGTTGGGAGAAAGGTAGCTTGTTGCTTAGATAAGCGAAAGCGCTAGCTATACTCAGTTTCCTAATTTCCTGTTTTGATCTAGAAAATTTGTTATCGGTTCCTGTACGACATATATCTCAAGCACAAATATTGACTCAAATAGTTTAATTACCCTAAATAGTTCTAGTTTATAATATACATACGAGCACTTTGAAATCTGTGAATTTATTATGTTTTTTGGAGTTAAATTACAACTGAATTTGACAGCATTGGAAGTCGGGGTGCTGCCAAATTTAATTTGTTCAGCTGTACTAAGTGCTCAGTCATTGACGGCGTAACACATATCGGTTGGGCCGACATAACCCACTAGCCTGCGGGTAGCATCTGCTTATTCCTTTCACTTTCCTCTTTTTCTTTCTAAATATCTACTTATGACAAATATTCCTAAATGGTTAAATGTAACAAAGATATATGTGGACAATGGATGTCTAAAATTAAACAGTTAACGGTTTTGAATGCAATTAGAACGACTGTACTTTCAAGTGAAATCAAACGCCGCAATCATTGACCAATGCAGCCATACAATCGGATCCTCTTTCTTCTTCTTGAAATCGCGTCTGAAATCAAGCGACATTACAAATTTAAATTTGGTTTATGATTAACTAATCACTCCTACGACAATATTTTCTGAGCATTTTAAGGCCTGTGGACTTGTAATCTCTACCATTTCCCTTTTTTCGAGGACTTCAATTTAATTCTTCTAAATATTTCCAAATTTTTTCAACAACTGCAAAAGTTTAACTGCTTTCTTGAAAAGGTTTATTCAAAAGTTATTTGACGACTTTATTTTACTGAAGAAACAGTTTTCGTTCCCCTTCCCTTTTCGTAACGGAGAACCCAATTTATTTGTTCGCAGATGACAATACTCTGTGTCGTTCGTGTTCTTTAGTACGAGACCATGCAGCAACGAATTACAGAACAAATGCTGTATGATGAATGACACGTATAAACAGGGAGCTCTGGGAGTCGTGTAAATACGGTAAGCTTTAATGACACAAACTTCCAAAGCTATCTCTTAACTCACAGGGACAATGATGACCAAGCCTTCTCTTTCGGCAATTATTGACGTTCTGATCATGAGAATGAAGGCCAGAGAAATGATGTTCGTTGAATAGAATATGTGCTCGAAGTGTCGAAAGACGCAGCCAAGCACTTAAGTAATTTAAAACGATGCAAAAAAAAACCTCACTACAGCCGATAGCTTTACCATTTACACCGTCTATATCCGGCCAAAATCAAAATACAATTCCGGCTCAGGTGCTCATGGACAACGAAAGTGTGCTCTTCGAATGTAGGTATTTTCACCACATAAATTTTTCAACAGTACTGCATGTACTTCTCAGCGTTCCCACCCACTCGCCCTTAAGTCAACTGTATGCCACACAACACACTGCCGCGACTTGTCATTTTTAACCCGTGCTGCCCAACTTCGGAACAATCTACCAGCAGTGTTCTTCCCTGCCACAACTGTCGTCTCCATTTTCAAGTTGAACGTTCACAAATAGTATTTCCTCTCTTCTTTCCACTCTTCCTATAACCATTCCTGATCACCATCGTGCCTGCACGTGTAAGGGACCTGCTCTGAGTGGCTGGTCAAAAAAAAAAAAATGAATAAATTGTGATACATCGCTTAATTACGCGTACATTACCTTCTAACTCCCTCAGTGCATTTGTACTCTTTTCGCAATCAGCTTTTTTTTGGCTAACGTGATTACTTTTAAATTTAATCGATATGGAAAAGCGGTTTACGACGTCAATAGTTTCCCTAAGATCTGCTCAATTAAAATTAAAACAAACCGTCCAACTAAGCTTCCATCTTGGAAAGCAAATGCTGGAAACTATCCCTTCCTCCATCAGCATCGCAGAAATTACAGGTCCGTTGTTAAACCATTTACGAACTTTCATGCACCATCTCGTAGTGTTAATTTAACATGCAGTGCAGTGTGGCTTATGGAACGCATATAAAATCTCACATTGGGGATCGTGTTTTCTGAGCTACTAATTTTGAATCCATGGTAAGGTAATAATGTGGTTTTGCCGGTTTCACTTTATCAGCATTAAGCGTTATTGTTCCTTATGCGCCACTATTGATAGGTTTGATTTTTTCTTCTTCTTGAAACTTTCATTAATGTTTTGATTTCAATAAATTTCTTAATAACTTTAGCCTTCTTAAGCTTTTTAAACTATCACGTGTGCTCTATATTTTTTTCTACATACTCGAAGAGCTTTTTTTCCATTTAAATGCAGTTTCAATTTTTATTCTGAAAGTTCTCTCATCTTTCTTCTTCTTTACCTCTGCATGAATTCATATTGTTATGAAATTCGCTTTTATAAGATACAGTCCGTATCACTAGATCGTGGATATTTTGATCAAGAGAAATGCACGTCAAAGTTCTGTTATTTGACTACTTTGTCATTCACAACAGTAGGAATATTTATTTACAATTTATTTTGGCCATACTCTCAACTTCTACGTTTTTGCCAGACTAACTCTACTTTTCACAAAAATTCTATTTATATACAATTTTACAAGCATCTTACTATACCTAAATTTATGGTTTTATTTTTAATCCCAGCCTGCTTTTCCTATAATCGTTTTCATCGGCCGGCACCTGCATGACGCGCCTGCGAATTCACATTTGGTTTTTCCTTCCTTAGGGAATTTATTATTACGAAAATTACTTAGCTGACAATAACTGGGATTTTCGTAACAATATTCTTGGTAAATTTCGTAATTTTTCAGAATTCTTAAGCATTTCATATATAAAGCTTAAATTCGCACATTTCCTTGCAGTCTTTCGTGCAAGAATGTTCTTAATATGGTAAACAATATAAAGATTTCGAAGCTCAAGCGCCTTTACAATGGTTTCAATTATTCATACGCATCGTCGATTTCATACATAGCATATTAATTTAATGCGTTGTCCTACTTGTTAACCATTGTATTACTTTTCTATTCCTAGCTTGCATTTATTAATTGCAGTCTTTGCGTTTTGAACGACAAATCAAAAACCATTTACATTTAGTTTTGTGTAAAATTCTTTGAAATCGTAAATGTTTGGAGCAAGCAAATTTCTCTTCATCCATATATAGGCCTAGAAAGTATTGTCGAAATACTTTTCTGACTTTCTAAGCTCTTTCAATGACATTTCCAATCTGCTTTTAGCTATACAACTTGCGAATTTTCTTAAAAATATTCAAAGGTTAAGACGCTAAAGCATTGGATGTAATCACAACTATTTGCACTCATCCCGATGAAGTTTAAATTTCAGTTCAAGTTATTTATTTTAATTCGCTTTGAAATTTCGCAACAGTTAATCTTTTTTTCAATTATTATTATTATTATTATTATATTGTTTTTTTTTTTTTTTGCTTTATTTACTAATTTGAAATATTCTACTTTTCTTCTGATCCTTTGCAATTAGTTGATATTTTTAAAGTTATTGCTATAACGCCTCACTGTGGAACCTCTCACTTTTCAACAGCTCCATACACCTGAATAAAATCTTTTCTTGTACACCTGCCGACGAGACAGTGTTCCTCGGTTGACTGAAAATACAAGGACTTATAGACCTTACCAGTTCTCAAATGGTTTTCAGTGGCAGTATTTTAGATCACTCTGTATGTTATAATATTGTAATGAAATTCGCTTTTTACAAGATACAGTCCGTATCACTAGATCGTAGATATTTTGATCAAGAGAAATACACTTCAAAGTTCTTTTTCTTTACAATTATATTTCTTTTAATGTAGGATTATTTACAAATTATTTTTGGCAATACTTTTGACTGCTTAACTCAAATACTCTTTTTCTACTCGCTTGTCTTTCACAAATATTCTATTTATATACATTTTTGTCATCCTATTACTAGCACCTAATTTTATGACTTGACATTTAATTCGTTAACCTGCTTTTGTTGGTAACCGTTTTCATCGGCATGCAGCTGCATGAGGCGCCTGCGAATGTGCACTCTGCTTTTACCTGTCTGTTTTTCCACTAATCGCTTGCATCGATCTGCAGCTGCATGACGCCTAGCGAATGTAAATTTGGTTGTAGAAAATGACTAGATTTGGGATTTCCGTAACACTACCCTCCATATAATCTTGTTCGTCCCGAACAAGGTCGTTTCGATACGCGTTCAGTCGGTCCAGGTGTACCACTTTGAATCTAGTTCTGCCTCCGGGATGCTTTCGTATTCGGTAGACCACGTCATTTATCCTTGTGATGATTTTGTACGGACCTTCCCAGTTACACTGCAGTTTTGGTGACATACCCTTTTTAGGATTGTTCAATAGCACTAAATTCCCTTCCATAAATCCCTCAGCGTTAGCTCTCAGATCGTATCTTGCTTTCATCCTGTCACTTACGATTTGCGTTCTATTTCGAACTTGTCGGTGCATGTTATCCAATTTCTCTCTCAATCTAGCAACATACTCGGTCTCGGTCCTTTGGACATTAGGCGGTGTCCCGAATTTTAAGTCTGCTGGTAGTCTCAGATTAGACCCGAACAAAATCTGCGCCGGGGGTAGAGCAGTGGTGTTGTGCACTGCCGACCTGTATGCCATTAAAAAGATTGGTATGTGTTCATCCCAGTCGTGCTGATTGTCGTCGATCACTTTTCGCAGATGTTCTTGGAGCGTTCGATTAAACCTTTCGACCATTCCGTCAGACTGAGGATGCAATGGAGTCGTCCTAGTTTTGTTAATACCAAATATTTGGCAAACCTCTTGAAAGATCGAAGATTCAAAGTTCCTACCTTGGTCTGAATGCAGCTCGATGGGGGTTCCAAACCGCGTAACCCAATTATTGACGAATACTTTGGCTATTGTCTTTGGTTCTTGGTTAGCTAAGGGGTATACTTCTGACCATTTACTGAAGTAATCAATGACTACCAGTACGTATTTATTTCCTGCATTGCTGCCTGGAAATGGCCCAGCAATATCCATTGCGATTCTCTCAAACGGTGCACCCACGTTATACTGCTGCAAGCGCCCTCGCGGCTTACTTTTCGGGCATCTTGATTTGCTGCATCGATCGCAGTTGCGAATCCATGCAGCTACGGAATCCTTGATGCCTACCCAATAAAAATTTTCCTTGATCTTCTCCACGGTTTTTGTGATGCCAAGATGCCCTCCGCTTGGCCCATCGTGATACTCCCTTATAATTTCATCAGTTCTTGCATATGGGACCACCAGTAATTTCTTAGCCCATGAAGCATCTTCACTCTGCCATATGCGCCACAAGCATCCATCTTCAAAGGCGAGGCTTTGCCACTGAGCTCAATACCCCTTCGTAATTGGACTTTCTCTTGAAATCTCTTCCCAGGTAGGGCGTCCCTCCTTTTCTAAGGCCTTTAATATTGCGTTTAAATCTTTGTCAGCCATTTGGGCACTGCGCATGTCTTCCTTCGAAAAGCTGCCGTTGGGCTCCACGATAGTTCGGCAGATGATGACACCTCTTTTATGTTCGTTTTTTACGCAGTGTTTGCAGTGCGGGTCGCATGGTCGTCTGGACATAGCATCGGCATTGCCATGCGATTTGCCGCTCCGGTGTGAAATCGAGAATTGGTAGGTTTGCAGTTTTTCAATCCACCTTGCTAGCTGTCCTTCTGGTTCTTTGAAGTTGAGTAACCATCGCAGAGCAGCATGATCTGTCCTTAGGTGAAATTGTTGCCCCTACAGATATTTGTGGAAGTGCTTGACCGATTGCGTTATTGCCAGCAGTTCCCGTCGCGTGCACAGTACTTCCTCTCGGCCTTAGATAGGCGTTTGCTGTAATATGCTATGACTTTTTCGTTACCGTCAATTTGCTGAAAGAGCACACTGCCCAAGCCTTCTGCGCTTGCATCGGTATCCAGTATGAATTTCTTTTCCGGTACTGGATAAGCTAGAATGGATGCTGCGCATTACAGCTCCTTTAACTGCCTGAACGCGTGTTCTTGGGACTCACCCCATGTAAAGGGTTGATTTTTCTTCGTAAGGTCATGCAGTCCGCTAGCAACCGTGGCGAACCTGGGGACGAATCTGCGGTAGTATGTACATAGTCCTAGGAAACTGCGAACTTCGTGCAAATTGTTTGGTCGTGGCCATTTTTTTACTGCTCGGATTTTCTCTTCATCCGTATGAATTCCAGTCGTAGAGACCTTGTGCCCAAGATATGTCACTTTCTTCCCAAAGAACATACATTTTTCGATACTCAGTTTTAAACCTGCTGCCTGTAATCGGTGAAAAACATTTGCTAGATTTTTTAGGTGTTCCTTGAAATTTTTACCCATGACAATGATGTCGTCCAGATACACCAGGCATGTCTTCCAGTGCAACCTTTTTAGCACGCAGTCCATTAGGCGCTCGAATGTGGCTGGCGCGTTGCATAATCCAAACGGCATTACAGTAAACTGATATAAACCCTCGTCAGCGGAGAATGCGGTCTTTTCCTTGTCATGTTCGGCGACCTCCACCTGCCAGTACCCACACTTCAAATCTAAGGTTGAGAACCATTGCGAACCTGACAAGGTGTCTAGGGTGTCGTCGATCCTAGGCAAAGGGTAGCTGTCTTTCTTGGTTACTTCTTTCAGCTTCCTGTAATCCACACAAAATCTGGTAGATCCATCTTTTTTTTGAACAAAGACTACTGGCGAACACCAAGGCCTATTCGATGGTTCGATAACTTTCTGCTCTTGCATGTCTTTGATTAAGTCCGCCACTTCTCCTCTTTTTGCCAGTAGAATTCTTCTAGGCCGTTGCCATATCGGATCAGCTCCTACAGTGTTAATTATATACTTCGCTGCATTAGTACGGCCATTTAATTTCGTACCGTCGGCAAAGATGGACCAATTTTCCAGCAAAAACTTTTTGGCATATTTTTTCTGCTGCTCAACCAGATTGCTAGTCCATCCTTTTATGAGAATTTCAGCCTCTGGGGATACGGTTGGGCGTGTTTTCGGAGTTTCGGCTTGATGATCTACTACATATTCGGCTTTTTGGCATTGTGCTATAATGTCCCCTTTGTGAATTTTTGTTGTAACGCTGGTCGGGTTTAATAGCCGTACTGGTATTAAATTGTTGACTGGTGATACAACCGCTTTTCCAATGATGATGTTGTCTTTCGTATATTCTTTACTCGGCTCGACAACCCGACTCGGCTCTTGTTTAGCCTTAGCTCCTTGGTAGCCGCGGCCCATACTATTGCTTCGGAGTTTGGAGGGATCTTCTGTTGTCGTTGTACTACAACTTGTAATACTTCGCTTTGTC